ATCAAGGCTCCACATTCACACCACAAAGGCTGAGTCGTACTTGGCTGACTACTGTCATCTCTTATCTGTATAACAAATCACTAAATATCTGTAGCATATTCTTGGTCATGGATTCTGATGGGTGCTTTGTATGGTGGAATTAGGAAGATAACTAGTGTCCGTCACTCAATAAACTTATGCTTCCACTGTTACAATTGTTTTCTGCAGGTTTTGTGAAATAGCTAAGATTGAGAACTCCATTCCCTTTCATGCTGAACCATCAAACCTGACCCTGAGCAGCATGTTTATATCCTGGGCACGTGTACCAACCAGGGATTCTGATGGGTGCTGTACATGGTGGAATTAGAAAAATAGCTAGTGTGCGGATAGTTTACTATTGCAGAAAAAACTTATGCTCCTGCTGTCACAATTATTTCTGCAGGTTTTGTTTAATAGCTAAGAGTGAGAACCACATCCCATTTCATGTTGAACTATCAAACATGACTCAGAGTACATGTATACACCCTTAACTTGTTGATGTGAGGAAACACTCTGCTGTCATGAAAAACTTTCCTGTTAAAAAATTGAATGAAACCTCACTTGTGCACCTTCTGTGCAGGCCTGCAACTTTGCATTCAAAGGCTACTTCAAGAGCTTCTTCGGCTATGACAAGGAGAAAGACGGGAAATGGAAATGGCTAGCTGGAAATGTAGCTTGTGGTAGTGCTGCAGGAGCTACAACATCGTCCCTGCTATACCATCTGGATTATGCGCGGACACGGCTAGCCACTGACGCGATTGAATCCCGAGCTAACAAACGTCAGTTCAGGGGGTTGCTAGATGTCTACAAGAAGACACTTGCAACTGATGGCATTCGTGGATTGTACCGAGGCTTCAGTGTGTCTATTGTGGGTATCACTCTATATCGGGGTCTTTATTTTGGCATCTACGACACCATGAAACCTATTGTACTAGTAGGGCCATTGGAGGTAACATCATTCTTGTGTCGTCTGCATCTCACATTTGAGGCTCCCGCGAGACCAGTTTGACACACTTAGTTGTTATTGGATGCTTTTGCAGGGAAATTTCCTGGCCAGTTTTGCCTTGGGATGGACAATAACTACATTCTCTGGGGCCTGCGCCTACCCATTTGATACACTCCGACGAAGAATGATGTTAACTTCAGGGCAGCCATTCAAATACAGGAGCGCCTTCCATGCCGTAAAACAGATAGTTTCCACCGAAGGGTTCTTCACTCTATTCAGAGGGGTCGGTGCAAATATCCTCTCGGGAATGGCAGGAGCTGGAGTTCTTGCTGGGTATGACCAGCTCCAACGTTTTGCAGGCCAGCATGATTACAAAATTGAGAACAAGATGAAAGGGGCATTGAAATGATGTGCATATGATGGATCTGCATGTGCCTGGGAAGATCCTTGGGTTTTCAGGTTGCGCGCTGGCCAGATGGGATGTGTTGTGTGAGCTACAATTACCGAGCTCACAGAGCAGAACTTGAAATGCCTGCAAGAGTTAATGGGAATGAATTGATCAGCACAGCAACATTTCCTGGAGGTGAATTTTCCCAGGACAAGAGATGGCATCAGGGTGCAATAGATGATTCGTTTCTATACAAAGTTTTGAATACCATAACGACTAGATCTTATTCTTGAAGTGTAAATTAATATGGTTTCGAAAGCTGATGTCCCCATGTACACTATTAATGTAAACTGTAAATAGTACTGTAAAGAATAAAGAGTTTAGGGCCTCTTTGGTTCAAAGGAATTTCGTACCTTGTATTAGGTTTGATCCATTTATCTATACTTGGAACATTAGTTTGCTACCACACCTTTGCTGCATTTTCTGTAATTGCTAAGACTGACATAAGCCATTGTTGTCGTTGTTGTGGTCTTTTAGGGTGTGGTATTTTTTGATTGATCAGGCATCAAGACTCTCGTCGTCCGGCCTTGTTGATCGCTTAGAAGGCCCAACTAATGATGATTTGTAGGCTTCCGCTGAGACTGGAATAAATCTGAGGTGAGCTTCATTTTGCATTGTCCTTTGTTTTGGCCTTTGATCATACCACAAACTAGATCATTGAATTATCATTTTCAGTGTAAAAATCTCTATGTGGCTTGCTTGGTTTGAACAATTATCTAGCGCCATTCTGAAGAAGGCTTTTCACCACATATTAGTAGGTTACAATTCGTTCTGAACTTTCAGTTCAGCTGGTGTAGCATTTCACTTCTGCACCACTGATTCTTCAGGATCTATCGCAATTCTCAACTGGAACAAGTGGCAAGTTATCTGGTGTGAACTGCAATTTACTCTAGAAAATTAAGTTTGATTGGAATTTAGTGTTTTTAACCTCCACTGACAATGACTTTACTTTGATAAATTAGACTGCAATTTTGTCAAATTGTTTCCCCTGCATATATCCAAAGAACTAGGCAGTTTAAGCTTCTTAAAGAATTGCAAACATGTATGCAACACACACTTTAACTTGACAATCGTAATCAGTACTTATAGTGATAATACATCGAGTAGTTCTTGATTCACAACTGTAAGAAGTAAAACATAAAACAAACTCCACAAGTTTGGCTATAATATGAAAGAAAAGAACACTAGAGAGAAATAATAGCTTCACGCTTCCTCCGCAAGGTTGTTTTAGGCTGCTGTTGAGCACAATACGGGACATGGTAACTGAACTCTGTATAAGGAGGTATCTGTGATTCCCATGTCACTAATACAAAGTCACCCTTAGGACGAAGGGAGGGATTCTCAATGATCTCTCCAATCCTTATCTTAGGTAGTTTCCTGGCTTCAGTTCGAGGAGGCATAAGGTGTAGTGGAGCAGCGGGAGAGGGAAGAAAGTTGGTGAAGTCTACTGCACATCGTTTTTTGAAACGGTCTGATGGATGCTCACCAAACATTGACAAGTTGATCTTTGTCACATTCTTGTATCTCTTCAACATGGAGAGCCAGAACTGAAGGCTTAGATTTGTCCTCAACCCATTGGTAAGTGAATATGCTGCCACAAATGACCCGTCCAACAATTTGATGAACTCTCCTGCTAACAGTGTCAGCTTTGGGTGGTCCTCGGTGTGGGCACTTCCAAATGCTAGTGCCTTAAAGAGGTAGCTGTACTCCTCATCTGGTAATCTACTTAGGTGAATTGGCTTCACAGTACCATATCTAGTCAAACTTTCCATCCTACTAATGATTATAACCTTACTTTCTGTGCTTATGGATGTCACTGCCCGGTAAAATGATTTCCAGTCCTCATCATTGACCTCTGAAACAAATTTAACAACGACCAATGCCCTCCCAGTGCACCTTTCTGTTTCTACCATATGGAAGTTGTCTCCATTGAAGTGCAAAATTGAAGAGAAGTAACTACGGACCTTTTCATCATTGCATACATGTGCTACCAGAGTTTTCTTCCCGACTAGATAGCCACCGATGATTGGAAGTACAGATGGAGAAGCACAAGGGTTGCGCTGCAACAAGAAGTTGATAACTTGTTGCTTCTCGGTCCAACGACTGAACATACAGTTGTCGACATAAAGATATGTGTCATAGGGTCTGCGAAACATGGGTTCACACCCACCCAAAAGTATGACAAACTCTGTGATATTAGAAATAACGGTCTCTAAATTTAACAAGGCATCTTGTAGGTCACAGTTGTTATCAACTTGGTGATTCGATGCACCAGCATTTGCACGGAAGCGCTTCAAGGGAGTGGCAAGATATGAGGCAAATGAGCCAGAACTCATCACTTCCTTAGTAGTGCCCTCTCTGACTAGTTGGTTGCACTTGAAGGTGTCTAGTGCATGATAACCATGGTACATAGCCCTAGCTAGCATCTTCAGTTGCAGAAGCATACCAGAGTTGGTGATGTACCGGCCATCCGCCTCCTCGACAACCGTCTGAGCTCTTAGCAGGAGTTGCTGCAACCTCTCGGCATGCTTCTCCTTCGAGCATGACACTTCTGAATACCTCCCGATCAAAAAGGAGAAGAATCTGCTAACAAGGTCACCTGCAGCCGCAGACAGAACAACTTCCATCCTGAGAACTTTGGGCTGAGTGACTACTGAACTGAAGGGGAATGCTGATGTTGAACTAGAAGCTTGTTTTCACCTTGTAGAGTTCAGGTTTCGAGGTATATATAAGGTGTTGTTGAGATAGATGCATGCATGGTATTGCCGTGTACCGTGAAAGACCAGCTGGTGCGTCTTTGCTGGCCAGTCTAAAGTTGATGAGGAATCAATGATTAGCATAAGGCGGAGGTAGTGCACACCACAAATCCATGGTGGGATCTTAGGAGGTCTAAATCGTTGTGGAGCTGTAAGCACATTGTGTGTTTTAGCTGCAAGTCTACAGTCTACATAGTACAATGTGTTGCTTTTTTGCAGATTCGCCTATCTGTGGTTGACTGAAGGTCGTCACATCGGGGCTGCATGACTTCCTTTTGCAGAAGTGCTCTAACTGCTGTGACCTGATGGTTGTTCATACCGGTACTGGCCAAGTGGCTACTTGCTGTCGATTGATCATGTGAACCTGTGCTTCACCTACCCTGGAGCCTACCTAACTGTTTGGAGAGCCCAAGCCTGTTCTCTTGCGGTTTGATTTACTTGAAAGAATGTTCTGGTTGCACATGCCCATGGCCTCATGGTTGTTCTTTTGGTCAGGATGGTCAGCTGATGATGAACTGCCGCTATGATATCTATGCTGGTGCAGCCTTTCAGTGCAGCACCGCCAATTCAAGTATACTTGATTTTCTATAGACCTGATAATATCTCGCACTTGTGTTCCTTGTTTGATCGGTGCCCCTCTAGTATAAGTGTTGTAGCTCTTCAGGTGGTCGTAAGTCTCTTGTAGTTCTTTCAGAATTTTTTTTTTGTACCTGTGCCCCTGGTTGTTATCCAAAGCTAGGCATGAAAAATATTTGTGTTTGCAGGTCCTTGTTAATAACGAAGATCAAAACAAAAGTCTATAGATGGAAAACAAAGTCGGCAAAGAAATCTTAATCAGGGTGGTGGCGCAAGCAACACAAACTACAACACCATGTCATGTTACTATCTGCATCATGTTTTGTTGGAGCTAGCACTTGCAGGATGGCAGCATGACGCAAACTGGCAAACAGAATAGATTGGGTGAGTTGGGATGAGTTGCTGAACCCAACAGAATAGATTAAACATAATGATGGTAGCATCAGAAGCTTATAGAATCGCTTTGCTGCCCTCAAATTCTCATAGACAGGTACTGTTGGAATTCTCATAATGTAATTTCATTGCCTGAAGAAGCGTCCTGCATGGAATCTGGTAAATGACCTCTACTCTGTTTGGCGAGCGATCATGAAACCAGACTTTCTATTGAAAAAAATATTCTGTCTACCTGGAATCACTCTACATGGTGTGCTTGTTTCGATATATATGCACCATCTCCTGAACAGGGTTGTAACAGCACCATATACAGTGTTTTCCTTGTAAATGCAGTAGCAGTTATTAGAACAAACTTTACAATGGTCATACATTCATTGCCTGCCAGGAATTGATATTACATGAAACACACAGTTCATACCTTGAATTACGGATTACTAAAATTAATTAGTCACACACACACATACATCTCTAGCACATGACTACTGAACCGAAGGGGAATGCTGATTGAACTAGAAATTTGTTTTTGTGTTCACCTTGTAGAGATCAGGTTTCGAGGTATATATAAGGTGTTGTGCATGCATGGTACTGTCACGTACCATGAAAGACCAGCTCGTGTGTTTTCGCTGCCCAGTCTAAATTTGAGGCGGAATCAATAGTTAGCATAAGGTGTAGTGCACACCACAGATCCATGGCGGGATCTTAGAAGGTCGAAATCATTGTGGAGCTGTCAGCACATTGTGTGTTTTAGCTGCAAGTCTACAGTCTACATCGTACTGATATGTTGCTTTTTTGCAGATTCTCCCATCCGCGGTTGACTGGAGGTCTTCGCATCAGGGTTGCTCGACTTTCTTTTGCAGAAGTGCTCTAGCTGCTGTGACCTGATGTTTGTCCGTACAGGCAGTGGCCAAGTGGAGCTAGCAGGATGCCACTATGAGGCAAAGTGGCAAACAGAATAGACTGGGTGAGTTGGGATGAGTTGCTGAACCCAAAGAACAAGAGTTGGTGACCTGTGCTTCAAAGACCTTGATAGATTCAGCGTCATGATGGCAGCACCACAAGCTTGTAGAATCGTTTTGTCACCCTTGAGTTCTCATGGACAGTTACTGCTGGAATTCTAGTGTTCTGCAAGCTGAAGCAAAGTAAGGAATTTCATTGCCTGAAGAAGCATCCTGCATGGAATCTGGTAGATGCGCGACCACTGAAAGGTACTCCAAATCACAAACTTTCTCTTGATTTTTTTTATCTCTACTCGAAATCATTCTACATGGCTTGCTTGTTGAACAAGCACGCACCACATCCTAAACAGGGTTGTAACAGTATCATACAGTGTTTTTCCTGGTAAATGTAGTAGCAATCATCAGAAAATCACAAACTAGATCATATGCTCATTGCCTGCCAGGAACAAGTATTTCACACAGAACACGCAGTTCGTTCCTTGAAACACCTGAAATTAATTAATTATTACTACTAGACACATATACACCTCTACCACATACTAGTCAGTAACAAGTTGCTCTCAATTTTTAGCTGGTGTAGCATTCCACTGCTGCACAAACCATTCTTCAGACTCCGTCTCAACTAGCATGCATTAGTTGTAGCACTATATTTTTCAATAACCTAACAAGTAGTAGAGCGGCCTCGACTGAAAGTGATTCAAAGCACTGATCATCTAGCATGAACCACGGGGTTCAAAGCACTGACGAAGCGTACTTTGTCTCATACGGATGGGCGTCAGCTGGATCTCGTTCCCACGCATGTCGCGCATTATCTTCGTGATACTGACAGTGATGCTCTCGGTGCTGGGTGCAACATATAGGGAACCGCCGTCCTCTGTCGGTGGCCACCCGTCGGAGAGCGTGGTGCTCCTGACCTGGAAACGCGAATATTGCTGCCAATCCATGTCGACGTTGCTCGAGCCAAGTTGGCACCTGAACTTGCGCCCCTTCTCCATGGTGGCGGTGGCATCAGGATCTACGCACAAAACTGAGGCGGCGCTGCCGTAAGGTGGCGGCGCCGGAGTGAACTTCACGAGGAAAAAGGGACTCCTGTCTCGCCTGTGGAGAACATGCACTCCTGCTTTCACCTCCAGTGTGAGCTTAACATTGTACTCCAACTCGGTGGATGGCCACATATGACCGCCGGTAAGATGAGCCAGGAGTGCAACGGTGGAGCCGGCGAAGTTGCAGCCAGGTTCCGGACAGAAGCATGGCGCGTGGGGGCATGACTTGCCATGGTCCTCCACCTCGTGATAGTGCGTCTTCACGGTGCACCCGTACGCGGCGTTGGCGCAAGGGATGCGGAGGGACTCCAGGATTTTTTCGAGTGCGTAGCATCGGTTGTACCCGCCGGGGAGGGAGCACGTGTTGCAGTTCTCCTTGTTTATGAGTTTGCCTTGGCAGGGTGAGCAGATCACATGCCCAACGGCGCACTGTGTGTCAACAAGAAAACACATCATGATTTATTCTGAAGTCATGGTTGAAAATGATGAGCATGCTGAAAACAACAGTGGGGAACCATGCAAAACTTGATTCACCAATTTGTTCTTGGAAATGTTGTGCAGGTGACAGAACTCACTACATAATCTTTGAACAAGGATACAATTCGCTCGCCACAGGTATCCCCAAGTCAAGGAGGCTCTCAATTTGTATTGTCATTTTCGGAGTTGAGGAGATGTTTTTGTACAAGACTGTACAGAGGAAAAAATTGGTGATGTAAGGTGTTTGTTGTAGGATGGTGAGTGACCTGATTTAGGAGGGTCCTGGAGGCAACAACGCACATGTTTTGCAGAGTTAATGTGGGGTTGTTTAGGCAGAAATACAATACAACAATGGATCTGGAAACTGGAAAGAATTGTCAACACCCTGCAGCCGAAAAGTACTATCACTTTACACTACACGGCAATAAGGTTGTCACAGGTTGCTTCTTGCCCTCCACAAATTTCTTCAGATAGTTAGGATTCCCACTAAAGATTAAAAATCCTTGCTGGTGCCTACTTAGACAAAACGAAATAAGGAGAAAGAATGGTGAGAAATATGTTGTGTTTTGTTTGTTCCTTGGGTGTAGACACTGATCCCCTTCTCTTTACTCTGTGCCATGGCAAGCAGATATGTACGTATGTATGTAGTTGGTACAGCATGCATTTGATTTTAGCTGTACTCTGGTTGATACAGATCCAACTGCGATTTCTATTTTCTATTTACGATAGAGCAAGGTATGTGATTTCTGTGTGAAGTTGCAGGTTTCTTCTGTCCCAGGTTCGCACCTGCGCACTGTGTATCAATGAAGGAAGGAAACGCGCCATGATTTTATATTTACATGCATGCTTGTGAAAATGATGATCTTCTTCAGTTCCAGGTTAGAGATTGCAGGGGGACAAGGACGACAATGGAGAAAGAATAGGGAAGGTGCAAATGAAGGGAAGCAACGGTGGAGGGATGAGAGACCTGGAAGACCGGAGGCTGGAGGGGGTCGAAGCAGATGGTGCAGTCGAGAACTTCCGGGTCGATGATGCCGCTGATGCCCGCCGCCGGCGCGGCCATGTCGCTCATCTGCTCCGGCCGTTGATGGGGATTCCCTTTCCTCCACTTCTTGCCGCTGCAGCTCTCATCCATTGCTGGCAGGTAGCTGCAGTACTAGTCCTCCACCACGACTTGGCGGTGAAGAAATGCGTGGCTTGCTCCATACTCTGCAGTGTGAGTGCAGGGTGTACTAACTAGCCGTTGTGTGCATTGACGTGATGCGACGAGGCAGAGGCAGGGGCAGGGCAGAGGAGGCCAGTACTAGGCTATACGATCTAGCTAGCCGTTCCTTTTTTGGTTTTTGAAATCCGCGGTGATGCTCCCGTTTTTTTTTTCATTTCGGTTTTGGTTTTCCTCAACTTTTTGGTCGTATATTTTTATGTGGTTGCTCGAAAAAGGTGATGATGTGGCTATTCTCTGCACCCGGGCTTCAGGTGTGAACGGTAAACTCGTTTTAAATAGTGAAAAATTCAAACAAATCCGAATAGTTTTTGTGATGCAATAGGCTCATTTGCGTGATGACCGTTCAAAATTTGGTGAAGTTTGTACATCCAGGAGCTCATGGCAAAAAAGATAAATTTCGGGTGTGTGAGAAACTTTTGAAAAGAACATTGTCCACAACCAATTTTATCGTTTTTATCACTAGCTCCTTGAATGTCTAAATACTCCGGAATTTTGCACCAACATCACCAATTTAAGCATCTTGCACAAAAAATATCCATTTTTTATTTTGCCAGTTTTTTTAATGTTAATCAGGTGTGGATGAGCCTAGGCACGGAATTGAATTTTCGACCTACATCAAGAAATAGTAGTAAACCATCGCCAATCATTTTACCTATCGGTATGCTTGCAACATGATATTTAAACATATAGCAAGTCGTATCGTGAGCTGGTTAGGCAAACCTTTCAATTTCTGATCAGAACCACATACTTGCATATAGCTGACCACTTGGGTGAGCACCTGAACGAGCAGCCCGGCGAACCCGTGGTACCACGACCATACCATGCGTCTCACCCGCGTCAACATCTCACCGCGCGTCTCGGTACCTCGTTGGCGCGTACCGAGACGCCGAGCTGACGTAAAAGGCACCCCATCCGTCGCAGAGTACGACTGGAACCATGACGGACACTGGCAGTGATCAAGTTCGTGCTTGCAAAGGGAACATGATTATGACCAGTCCACTGTTTGGGTAATGCTCGGGTCAATCCCAACGCACGACCCCAAATGGTCTGGTTCTGTCCGTTGGGGGGTAGAATGGACGCCGCCCCATTGCCATACCTAAATGGACGATATCCGGACAAAACAGACGTCTGTTTGGGGGCGTGCATTGGAGTTGGCCTCATGCCGTGGTAGCTGAATTTGGACGTGTGCCGGGCGATGGAGACGACGAAGTACCCAGTCTGAGTATCACGCAGTGGCTAACGCGGTTGCTGAATGCTCCTGGCTTCGCCGGATTCTCCATTAGCTGTCTTGTTCCGTCGATAAGGCCACAGTGGTGTATTGTGACAATGCCCCCGCCAACCCCGTTCATCACCGTCATACCAAGCATATTGAACCGGATATCCTCTTTGGAGAGCAGGTGTCTCTCGATCACGTTCGAGAACTTCACGTGGCAACTACCCATCAGCTTGCGGACCTCGTGACCAAGGGGTTGTCGACGTCGACTTTCGAGGAGTTTCGGTCTTGTTTGTACGTTAGTGCGGACACTTCGGCGGGGGTGGGGGGTAATCTCTCTAGACTATTAAGGTTCTTGCTTTGGACATGACGATCTCCCTGTACATCTATATATTGGCTGGCACTAGATGCCCGTGAATACGTGTGTGTTGCATCATATCATCTCTCTACAGGTGTAACTAGGCATTCTGTTTATTGACGTGATATGTCAAGACATTATAGGGCAGAGCAGAAGATGCTAGTGTTGATGCTGATTTTTTTTCTCATTTCGATTTTTGTTTCTGGAAAACTTTTTTGGTCAATTTTTGTTTGAAATGACATCTTTTATGCGGGTCTCAGAAAAAAATGAGCTATTTCGTTGAATGCACTAAACCATATTCAACATTTGGTCAACATTTATGTTTTGCAATCAGTTTTGTTTAGAGGGAGTTTTACAATAAGTTCAAAGCATGGAAAAAGATGTTGTAATATATTTTCTCGAGAGGTCTGCTATATTTTTATTTTATTTTTTACTTTTTTGAAAAGGGGATGACCACCCCGGCCACTGCATCACATGATGCATACTCCCTCCTTCCATATATATAGGGCCTAATACATTTTTCGAGGTTGCCGTTGACTTTTGATAAGATTAATAATATATGAGACGTATAATGTGAAAATTATATCACTAGAAGCCCCTTCCACATACGAATTTGATGATGTGCTTTGTGTAACTTGCATGTCACATATTATTGCTCTAATATGTGATCAAAATTAGCCTCAAAAAACACATTAGGCCCTATATACATGGAAGGAGGGAGTACATCCAATGCTATATTTAATTTGAAGGCAGAAACCATGTAGAGAGCATGCATCGGTTGCAGGCAACCAATCCCAGAGCAGACCAAAGCACCTTGGAGGATTTGTGGACTACTCACCGACTTGGCACCATTGGTTGCATTGGTTCATCTGGCAGGATGGCCTCATGACATTAATCTGTAGCACAGAGAAGAACCTATGCCAAGCTTCTCTCGACACCATGCACGGCATCAGAATGTGACATTAACATTTTGACACACCCGTGAAGAAATATTTTGATATATACAACCTGCAAGCCAAACGCTGTTCAAAACAGCGTGAATACAGTTTGTGGCATGGCCGCATCATTTGTAAAAAAATCCCCAGAATCCTTGCATTGTGTTACCGACGTGTATGTAGTAAACCACAAACGAGTTTGTTAACATGTTCAGTAAACATATATAGCATAAAACAAAGACCAAATCGGACCAGGTCCTACGCCACACCCAAGTCAACTTCTTCCCTTGCCTGGTCGGCGTGTACCATGTCGCCAAACCGACACAAATAGCAGTTATTATGTTGGTGGCCGCCATGGAACCTCAGCATGACCTGTCCACCACGCCAGCGACCCTCATGACTGGGAGCTGAAGCTGGACGCACATCACGCAATGGAGGTGTCGGACATCATGATGTACGAGTTCACCAAGAGTAGCACTGATGAGCCGATCAATCTGCAGTTGGCCGGGGCGGTGTACATGGACCCAATGAAAAGACGCCCTTTGGAGGGTTTATGTGACCTGTTGGTGGTGATCAGCCTCATTATCGACAGACCACCAGCTCAACATGCACTCGGCGGTCTTCATGGTGGTGGAGCAGAGATCACTCCGGTGCATCAACAGGTTCAAGGACTGGATGAGAGTGAGCATGACCGACATTGCTGAGCCCCCAAACAATGCCCGAGCGGGCGGAATGCTGCGGAACTATGCATTTGTATTCCTCCAATATTCCACATACGGAGATGGGAACAAGCCACTATAACCTTGGCGTTCTTGCTCAATTCATGTTTTCTGGCAACACATGCTAGAGGTTTTAGGGTATATGTTATATACTTATATAGTAACAAGTAGTACTGTTTGTTTAATCATGCGAGAGCTATTCGCAACGTCCGTCTCATGTGTATGACTGAATGCATGCTTAATTGTTCGTTCAATCACACAAAACGTGTGACAAGGATCACCATTGTGTTGCTACATTGGCCATGTACGTTTCCCTAATGTACTCTTCCCCATGTTAGAAAGATTAGCTAGAATCTTCTAGGTACATCCAAGGTATATGGCTGCTACAGTATTTTGTCATTGAATAATTCTAGCCCAAATATCGGCCTAACTTTTTCAGTCCAACGGTCAGGCATAGAGAGTCAGGGAAGATATCCACATCAAAATACAACATTCTGATGGAAGATATCCACATGTTTTCTCATCCCAAGAACGCCCTCAGATCAACCCTAAACCCATGGTCAAGCTAGCCCTAAACCCGTGCCAGAGACTGGCGGGGATGGCGGCGGAATTACTCCATGTTTGTCAGAGCGCCGCGCGAGGTTCATGCGGTCAGGGTTCCATCCCCGTGCATGGATCGTCGGCGACGAGGGAACGCGCGATTATTTGGCAAGTAATAGTGACGCCTATTGTTCGACTCTATTTGTTGCTGAATTTGTGCTTTTGTACCTCATAATGAATTAATCTATGAACTTGGAACCTCAAGTGCTAATAGAGCACCGCTTATTGGCCTACTCCATATTTTGATAATTTGGTTTGAACAGAAAAGTGGGAAACTGCCCATAGCAAAATTCACGGTTATAGCTATATAGTTACATGAGAACTTCCAGTAGTTTTGAAAAAGAAACTGTATACATATATTTCAACGCTTTCATGTGGATCCATTCAAGTTCCTCTAGATATTCCCATGGGACGTTCTGGTCAGCATTAGGATAAGAATCAGTGTTAGAGAGTCTTATTTTCTTGCCGGGATTTTGTGCCAATGTCAACGTCGTATCTTACATCTTATATTCATAAAAATTGATTTCAATTCTCTCAACATACAAACTGGCAAAGTGTCCATCTCAACATCCTCATTGAGCCATGTATTTAACTCTTCTCTCCCACTAAGCCATGCAAAATCTATCACATAAGCGAACTTATACATTACAATTATATTTGCATTAGTCTATGCATGTAATACTACCGCATCATACATGCATGTTAGACACCCTTCACATTTTTGTTCGTAATGATATTTTTAACAGTAATTCAAAAGTTTTTATTCTATTTTTAGGCATTTTCTTTTATTGATTTTCAAGCTTATATATCTTTTCATTAGATTTAGTTATTTTTAGCAGCTATTTACGCATTTTTTAAGAAAAGTACTGCAGCAACATGCAGGGCATCATCTAGTAGTATCCAATGTAGTGATCGTGTACCTATAAAAATGCTCATTTTCTCAACCAGTCTGCAAAAAGAAAAAAATTGACTAGTCTCCTACGAATTTGCACGTTACAATTTCATGTTGAATTCGCTGGAGT